GGGGGGGGGGACTCCTTGACATGCTAGAGGCGCACGATGGCGCGCCCAAGCGGAATGAGACGCAGATGCGCGGATAACAAACCTCTCTCGCTGCAATCCCAAAGAGGTAGGGGTAAAATCCCCCCAAACGCAAGTGAACCAACTGGTGTGTATGCGAGAAATGCAAATTATTTTCCCCCCAAACTGAAATTTTTAGCCTCAACTCCGCCCGAAAAAGAAGAAAAAAAAATTGAACAAAATTTAATTTATCCGCTGAAAATAGTCTCTCTCCCTCTCTATTTACCATCAAACATTTACATCTCGTTCATCACCACTTATTCATCCACTCGTCTGTTGACATTTAGTAAATACGCATTATATTACGCATTTTTACCGCCACAAGAGCGGAATAAAAACGTTTTGAGAGTTCATAGAGTTGATTACAATTGGATACACTGTAGTTCTCACTCGTAATTCACCGGTGAGCGCAAATTCCCCTCAGTTCGCTGGCTCTGGGTTTACACTCCCACCCACTAGAACCAACCATCCCCCGTTCCCCAGCCACCCGATGACGACGTTGATGACGCTTCGCCGCAGGCGGATTAATAAATCAAACGGACGCGCAACTACTCTGTGTGCATGTCGCGGCTCGGAGCACACATGACGACGGCTTCTTCATCAATTTATATGATATACTTTTAATGCATTGTTTTTTATCTTTACGATCGTAAACCTCCGATGATCAAATCGATTTATAAATTGTCAGTGTCAGTGGAGTTTACACTGTTGGAGAAAAAAATGAAATCTCATGGAGAGTCACTGGTAATTTTGAGGAGAGTGACACTTGCATGCGGAAAAATCATGAAATTTTAGGTTTCACTGAAAATTCAATGAAAATCCACATTTTTTGGGCAGTTATAACACGAGAATTCAGTGCCAAACATTAATTTTTCCTTGGAATTTCAGTGGAACTATAATGTGCCAAAAATTCCCAAGAACTATCCCAGAAATTAAGGATATCCAAGTACGTTGGATTTTTTCTCCAGTGAAATGCTTTTCTACTTTCGTAGTCGAACATCGGAACTTTCATTTGAGCCCCATTTGGCCCCAAGTTCCCCGACATTTTCCAACGATTTTATTGCCCAAAATATAATTTTAATACCGTTGAATACTCATAATTTTTTCGAATTTATCTCCCGCAATCAATTGACAAATTAGGTGACTGTAAAAGAAGCACCAAAATTGTAAACCTGTAAAATTTACTTGGACATCCTCAAGACCAAAAACAGCATGCAGTACATCTCCCATAGATTCACAGATATTCACCAAAAACAGTCTCATGTTCCACTACTGAGTCCCCGCAAACTCAACTCGATTAATGATACCGGAACAGCACGTGATTTGACATGGGTTATAACTCGTCAAGAGTCACGGGGTGAAGGGGGTCGCGTGCACGCTGCAAATTCGCGTGAGTTTTTTTATCGACAAGCCAGCGTTAAACCGTTATTTATGTCGAACGCGTGCAGCCGACTCGCATTTTTCACCCTTGCCGATCACTGACTGTATCACCATTGCTGCACTATAAATACATTTTATCCAGCCCTCCCCCCTCCCTCTATTTCACCTCCTCTTTCACTTTATACCTCGTGATCAGCGGATACGATACCCGCGCTTCATTATTTTCCCACGTAAAATCTGTCCCAATAAAATAATCATTTCACTCCATTGTCATTCCGCGCAAATTCACAACCTATTTTTTTCATGTTTTCCCTTATCAGTCGGGCTTGATTTTTCCAGCGACCTATCTCAATATTATTTCAAGCGAGTTCATGAGGAATGAAAATAAATACGCGATGGGAGATTTTGTGTCCTTGTACCTCCGGAGATTCCCGGAGAAACGGCTGGCGCGTAAACAATTGCAGTTATATGCACACTGGATATACATGGGGAAAGGGAAGAGGGAATAAAGAGAGAGGGAAGGAGAAAAAAGAGATGCTGAACAAAAAGGCACGTCATAGCCCCGGCACTTTGCGTTTCCATGAGCGTACAAAGTCCCTTTGTGCCGGGCCAGCGAGCCGTCGGACTAATACCAGAAGATGCTCCTACCTACTCTCCACTCGAAAACTTTATCTACGTCTCGCTGGTTACTGTTTTACCGAACATTTTTACCAGTTACCCGTTCTCATTTAATCTCCACGGATGCAGCGTCATGTCTTTTACACTTATATTTCCAAACTTTTAGAAATAACAGAGAGAGCAATTTTT